TTTATTAAACTGACATCCCAAACAAATGCACATAATTTTTTTTTTATTTTAACAAAGCTACAAAAAGTCCACATGAGAGAAAGTATTGTGTGATAAGGTTTTGCTGAATTTCAATAGTCTTTTTTTTTTTTAAGCAGTGGCTAGCTAAAGAAAGTCGTTAATATTAACACAGATAATGGCAGAAAACCACAAAAACTCCAAATACAGAAAGGCTGTTCATGTATACTAACAGCATAACCATTATGGTTGAAAAACCACACAATATTCTTTCTCCCATCTGTTTTGTTAATGAGCCAAGAATGAGGGTCTATTGAGTATCCTAGACAACTGATTTAGAAACTAGGAATGTCTGGTAAATACTGTTTATCCCAACACTCTGAAACTAAACAGGCCTAGAAAAGATAATGATCTTAAATAAATTATCATTTTAGTTTTATCTTTTAGAAAATGGAACTATCACTTCGGGCTTTTTTTTTTCCCTATCCATTTAAAAAACCAAAACCAAGATTTATAAATCACTTTTTTAAGGTCCTAGTTTTAGGTAAGTACTGTAAGAGAATATGCTTTTTACATTAACAAAATATTGTTTTTAATTCATGTTCCAAGTAGATTCTCAAGAACTTTAACAATATAGAAACCAATGTAACTAGATAACTATTATAAAGTAAACCCGTATTCAACTAGAATCCAACAGCTTAAGACAATCTGGCAAGAATTTGTCTCTGAGCTAGGGTTTTTCCATAGACAACACTGAACTCTTCCAGGAACTACCCCCTTTACAGGGCCCCAGGCCTTGCTATATACTGTCAGGCCAGGCTTATGGAACCAAAAATGTAATGATCCCAATGAATATATAAAGTAATATAGTATAAGTAAATTCTAAATTACCAATTTATTACATAAAAATCTCCCAAAGAAAAAAAATTAAGCACCTACATTCTTTTCATTCAATGGCATTGCTTTCTAAAATAATTTAATTCCTTATTTTTAAAAAATAACTAAATTAGCTTAGAATTGGATTTTAAAATATAAAGAATGGTATGGTTATATCAGGGTGATGGAATCATGTTTTTCATTATTTTTTTGGTACTGGGCATCAAACTCGGGTCCTTGCGCTTACGCAGCAGGCGGCAAAACCACTGAGCTATATCCTCAGCCCTAAAGTCTGTTTTTTTTAAAAAAAGATGCTTCTTGACTCTTTTCAATTTTCCCTCAGAGCATCCCACCACTGAAAGAAAAATTAAATTTGAAAACAAAAACAAAATAAGCATGCACATTTATAAACAGGACCAGTCATAAACAGTAAATACTAAAAAACAAACAACAAACTACAAAAGCACTCCAAAACAGCACAAGTTAAAATTTAAGAGACAATTCAACAAAATGACTTTTACTACTCTCCAAGTTCAAGCCCAACAAAAAGAGTAGCAGTCATTTTTTTCCTTCAAGACAAAATTTATATAACAATACAGATACCTACAAAGTGATAAAGTTTGTTTTAAACACTACACTGAGAACCTACGGCATATTTTAGCATTCTGAATCCACAACTCTTATTCTCATCCAAATCCCATTCCTGATTTAGTTTTAGCTTCCTATACATTCAATTTTCCCTCCTTTGAAACGTGGTCCCTAATGACTTTTTGTTTGTTTACTATTTAAGAAAGAACTCTAACAACTAGTCAAAAACAAATTTAAATGTTTAAGAAGCAGTCTAGTTACTTTTACATGATTGCACAACTACCAAACATTTCAAATAAATTTACATGTCACTAATTTATGGTAAAAGTAAATGTTTTTCTTCCATTGTTAAGTAAGTATAATTTCTCCCTAAACAATAGTCTGACTTTATCTAAAAATAGACTAGAGTAGTACAGTTCTAAAAAATAATAGGTCTTCAAGCAAAGTGGTAGCTAGATGAACATTTCTGCTGCTCCTATTCCCATTATATTTGGAAATAAAACATAACCTATACTCAGTTCAGCTGTAGTTGGACCATAAAAATTAGGGTTTCACAAGTTTGTGTGAGTAATTTGCACAGATGCTAAACTATTATTTTAAAATAAATATGCAGCCAGGAGTGGTGGTGCATGGGTGCACGCCTCTCATCCCAGCACTCGGGAGGCTGAGGCAGGAGGATCACTGGGAGTTTGAGGCCAGCCTGGGCTGCATAGTAAATTAAGGACAGCCTGAACTGCCTAGTGAGGCCCTGTCTCAAGATAAATAAAATAAAATAAAAATGCACCTTTTCTGGTTAAATCAAAACAGATGATACTAAACCAGTAGATTATACAGAACAAATTTATAATCATTGAAAATATTTCATGTGAAAAAGGACATAAGTCTGGTGTGGTGGTGCACAACTACTGGGATATCCCAGCACTCTGGGAGGCTGAGGTAGGAGGATCTCAAATTCAAGCCCTGGCAATTTAATAGACTTGGTGAGACCCTGTCCAAAATAAAAATAAAAATAAAAATGGGCTAGGGATGTAGCTAAGTGCAAAGGCTCTGGGTTCAGTCCTCAGCCAGGGGATAATGTGGAGGACAGACAAATACCAACTTTTAGTAAGGAATTATTCACCAATAAGCAATTAATATGGTATTTGTATTTGAAGTCCTCTAATGTACTAAATTAAGTTTCCTATGTATCCATGTAGCAATCTGAACTTAAAACATCCTGTCATGATTCGTGGTTATCTCCATCCTAAAGAAAAACAACAGAAATGGAAAGCCAACATTCAATATTAAAAAACTTTGCATCTGAAACATTTTTAATTAAAATATGCATCTAACAAATTCTGAATTTAAAATTTAGTTGCATATAACTATGCTTTAAACTTCATTTAGTATAACAATTATATATATCAGAAGAATAAGGAAAAATTGTTTTGTTTTGGTTTTTTTGGTACTGGCGATGGAACTCAGGTCTTTGCGCTTGCTGTAGCAGGCGGCGAAACCACTGAGCTAAATCCCCGGCCCAAGAAAAATTGTTTTTAACAATGATAACCTTATACTTTATCTTCACTACTAGACTGCTATCATCACACAAACTGCACTCAAGAATGAACTTCACATTTCAAAACAGCCAAGGATATGGCTGATAGAATTATCTAACAATACTTCCTCAATGTAAAGACAGGTAAATGAGTATGTTTTCACAAGAGAAGAACCCCCCCAAAGAAAAAAAAAGATAAAACATTTTCTGAGCCATATTTGGGCTAGGTGTACTAATTGGCTAGGTGGTTTGATGTCAAGTATTTTCGAGGATGTTCCTCATATATCAGGTTATACAGTGAACCCTCAAGTTATGACCAGCCTGACATACGAAAAACTTGGGTTAATTAGGTTAATGAAAGATTCAGCTGCCTCTTGTTATCTATAGCGTGTATCCAGTTAAATATCCAGATCTCAGCTGTACTGACTTACAACCAACTTCCATTACAACGAATCAACCCAGTTCATAAGGGTCCATTGTATTTTCATATGTAAAAACCCAAAGGAAAAAAAAAATCTTTAAATTTTCTTTGAAGTATTCTCAAAAGGTTTAGAATGATTAATAAACAGCTTAACTTTCGTGTTTAGTTTTCCAGGAATGACAACAGTTAGTCACATAACAGTAAGAACAAATACTATGGTAGAAAATTTAAAAAGAGCAAGATAGTTTTGGAAATATACAAACCAATAATAAATGAGTCTTCACAATCTAAACAAATTTCCTGTTTTAAAGAAGATATGGAGAAGGCAAAAAGTGGAACCAGAGAAATGGTAGAAATTGAGTAGAGAAAATTCTGTGCGATAAAACTTGTAAGAAACTCCCCTCTCAATTTTTCCACTCACAATTTGAATGCCTTTGTGCATCCACTTGACAATTATACTCCTTTCATGAAACTTCATGAAAACTTCAACAAAGTTTTCACGTCTTTGGTTTCTTTTATGTAAATTTTCTTAAGTTTATGCACCTCTTAAATTGAGAAAGAGATGTGAAATTCATAGACCTGTGATGCCATAGTAACTAGACATGACCCCTCCAGATATTTTGAAAATGATAAATTAGTGGTCATCTGGATGAAACGTACTTTAAAATATGACATAAGAGCATGGTCATCTAGTAAGCAAACCGTTATGTAACGCCTATTTTATATCCCTCAATTAATCCTAAAGAGTACCTTTTCTTTCTTTTTTCCTGGTAGAGGGATTCAATCCAGGGCCTTCCGCATGCCAGCCAAGTGCTCTACCACCGAGCTACATCCCTAGCCCTTCTTTTTCTTTCCATAAGACAAGTATAGTCCATGTTGCAATTTTTCCGGAAGACTGCACCCCCACCCCCACCTCGAGAAAACAATTTTCCCAAATTTCAAATTTCCAGGAATATTACAATTGCTTCTTTAAGGAACAGCGAATGAAGAGACACTGTCAGTGATTTCAAGATCCACCTCCTCATATAAGCAGTGGTCAAGGCCGATAAAAGAGACATTTTCAAGCTCCTCAGAAACTACACATCATACTGCCACAAACATAGAACTCCAGGATGGAGGTAATGCCAGCCTGCATCTGACGTAGCACCAACACCTACTTCAAACTTAATCGCATCCGTTATCTCAGTGCATCTTCACAACCACCCCAAGAAATAGGTAAGGGAGATGGCTGGCCACCCCCCTCCACCGGGCACACTACGCGGCTAAAGGAACCGCACGCCGTCACAACTCCACCTGGAAAACAATAGCGAAGGCAAACTCCACTCTCCTTGAAGAAAAGCGCAGGGGGCGGTAGGGTAATAATGGATCGCCTAGATAACTCCCAACTGAAGCCCTTCGCGGCAATTTCGCCAATGCCACGGCCCCGGGAAAACTGCGGCGGGGTTGCGGGGAGGCCGCTGGCGGGGCAAGAAACCCAGCGACGCCCGCCCCGCGCGCACCTGGGCCAGCGCGAGCGCGCGACGATGCCCGGGCGACAACCGCGGGATGACACCATACGCCCCCGGTCCAGCGGCTCCGACTCACCTGCAGAGCCGATTTCCATTCATGGAGCTGGGGGCAGAGCTTCGGGCGAGAACGGCACCCGCCACCCGCGCGAGGAGGCGGCAAGGGAGCCCCGAGGCGGAGGCGATGCGGCTCCCCTCAGAACCGCACTCCGCGCTCTGTGCCGGAAGAGCTGCCGTCGGGAGACCGCCCCGCACCAGGCGAGAGCGAGAAAGGGATCCAGGCGAGGATAGGAGAGCCCGTGCGGAACTTGCGTAGCCCGCGGCCGCTCACGCACTCCCGCCCCACGCCAGCGAGCAGCCGCTCTGCCGGGGGCCGCCCCGGAAGCCCGCCGGCGTCAGTTCCGCCGCCAGGCCCGCTCGGGGTCCACGGCTCGCCTCTGGGCCCGAGCCTTGCGGGAGCGCGGTCGGCGGTGCAGCCAGAGACATCCCCAAGGGGTGGGGCATCGGCACAGCTTACCTGAGAGCGTCGTTTACCTGGAGCTGGCTAGGGATCGGCCAGGGCCACCCTCCAACCCCTCGCGCCCCTCCTGGTTGCGCAGTCCCACAGGCAGTCGAGGGACTACCGGAATTGGTACCTCCAATCCGTACTTAAACGATTTTTTTTTTCTTTTGAAGGAGAGGGATGTACAAAATAGTTTGGGCACAAAGGATTAAGGAAACAGGACATTGCTGGGCATGGTGACGCGTGCTTATAATCGCTAGCTCCAGCCAAGTCTGGGCAGTTAAGCGATTTAGCGAGATCCTGCCTCAAAGTTTTAAAAAAGGATGGGTAGTAGTTTAGAGCGAAGGTTCTGCGTTCAATCTCTAGTACCCGAAGAAAAGAAGACATTACACAAACATATGAAATGGTTTCCGTGTTTAAAACTCTTTAATAGCGCCTTGTCATACTGAAAAATCCACCTTTCTACGGTTAAGGGTGCCCAGCACAAGGGAGCTCCTGTTTTTTCAAGACTGGCCCTCAAAACCTTGCTACAGCTGAACTGGTCGACTTCCAATTCCCCCCGCGCGACGCCAAGCGCTTCTCTTTGCTGACTTGGAGCCTCTCTGGTTTTGGATCCTTTGGCCAGGAATCCTCTCTTCCCACCTTCCCTCCCTCTCCTCTCAATGCCAGGCCGCTTCTTTTCCTACCTTCTTGTAAGCCATCTCAGAGCAGCCTTTCCTGGGCCACCAGTCTATGGTGGGGCACCGTTTGTTATTCTAGTATTTCCTTAGTAATGCTTCTCGCAGTCTGTAGTTTGTTGTCTACTTATTTCACTGTCCATCTCCCCACTAGAATGTAAGTACTAAAAGGAAACTCCAGCACACCGTCAGTAGAGCCTTAAAAATATTCATTGCTTTAGTGAAACCTGATATTACTTTATGCAGGCTGAGCAATGATTCATGATTTTAAGCTGTGCCCCTGGGCGTCAATATTGTTTACAAAGTTTTATAAATCAAAATACAATTTTTAAAGCAAAAGGAGAAAAAATAGCCTGTTTTCAATTTCCCCCCACTCAATGTAGGATTTTAGATTAGTCACTTGATGTCTTTCAGCTTCAGTTTTCTCATCTGAAAAATGACAAGAACAACATGTACCTTACAAAGTTGCTGTAAGATTAGGGAGTGTACATAAAGCACGAAGAAAATCCTCCCTAAATATTAATGAATAACAAAAGTGCTCACTATTGTTACAATGTAAAGGGTTCAATAGATTCTCCTATCATATAATAAATGCTTCATAAATGGAGGGGACTTGAAACCATGTGACTTCAATTCTGCCTCATTTTTCTCTTTCCTTCACATCCCCATCTGTGACTGAAAATATCCTCCCCAATTTGAAGATAGTAAATGAAATGTCACCAGATTAAACACTGCATTTCTTTTTTTTAAACACTGCATCTTAAAAGTCATTTTCAGTCGTGATTTCGCACAATCTGAATCTTGGTAGCACCTGACAGGGTAAACACCAGCTCTTGTGCAAGGCCTATCAGACCTTCTACTCCCCTAATTCACTTAGTTCCCTACATGAATACTGGCTTATTTAGCTTCTCAGAAGGGACATGGTCATGGAGATGAACTCTCAAAGTGGGCTACTGTCTTTATTTCGGACATTGATAAGAGTAGGATTAGGACCCTCTGATTCATTCCAATTCTTCAGAGTGAACCCATGTGAAAGGCTCATGAATTGTAGTATCAGAAAGTAGGAAGGCAAAAATGTTGGATGAATGTGCCAAAGGCAAAGCTGGATCAGCCTCTCCTCAGAACACGTGCCCTATTTTTGGATAACTTATTCCCAAGTGAATCTGCTCTTAAGGGCACAGAGCAGGGTGTTTGTATAGCTTGTTAACTACCACAGCCTCAGTACCTGGAAGAGTGCTAGTGCCTAGAACACAACATTCAGTATGTGTTGAAGAGATGGATGAATAAATGAATGGGCTTCAAGAACTGGCTCAGGAAACAGGTTGAAACTCTGCCCTCATGCCTGCTCACACTGTTCTTGGAAGAAGAGTACAAGATCTCAGATGCAGAGAAATCAGTGCTCTGTGAATGCTGAGTGCCTCAGCAGCCACCACACAACCAGTGCCAAATTTCTTAAAATATGACCCTCAAATTACAAACTAAAAAAATAAAAGTAAGTCGAATTTTAAATTAATAAATTAGACATGAAAGTTGAAAACATTTGCTCTTCAAAATAAAAAAACCAAGTCACAGATTGGGAAGAAATATTTGAGTAAAAGATGTGAATCAGTTAACAAAGACAATAACAAGATAGCAATTAAACACACAAGATGATCATTACCACTGGCCATTAGGGAAAGGGTAAAATATTCAGTGCCTTCAGGAAAAATGGTGTTAAACAGCTGGTAAAGCACAAGCCCAGCAGGTCACATCAGGGACTGAGTGCCCATCTCCTTCCTTGCTGCTACTATTTTCCTACTCAGCACTTTTATACTCCTAGGTTTCTGGTGTTAGGTAAGAAATTTTGCCAAGCATGGTGGCAAATGCCTATAATCCCAGTACTCAGGAGACTGAGACAGGAGGATGGCTGTGAGTTTGAGGCTAACTTGGGCTACATAGTTCAAAGCCAGCCTGAATTACAGAGCAAGACCCTGTCTCAAAAAAAGAAGAAGAAAATCTTCACTGGCAAAAGACAGCATCCATCAGCAGTTTCTACGAGGCAGACAGAAAGCTACTTTGTACTGCGGCAAAAAACAGTATAAAACATATGTACCTTAGGATCAGACAAAGCTGAGACTGATAGCTTTCCCCAACTCACTGTGACTCTGGGAAGGTCACTTACTCTGAGATTGATGTTCTTCATCTATAAAAAGCAGAGCACCAGCTGCCATCTTTTGTCCTCGTGTGTGTCCCTAATCTCAGCTGGTCCACCCTAGACACCCTGAGCCACTTTCCTGAGCCTAGTTCTTAAAGCCCATTCATTTATTCACTCATCTACCCATAACCCTCTGCACTTCCCCATATCCACTCCAACAAGATGAAAGAAAACTATCATGAACCAGGAAAAACTCACTAAGCTGCAGGAACAAGTGTGCATTTTGGGGAAAGGAATTGCTCACAGAAAGAAGGTGGTTCATAGAACAGCTACAGCAGATAAAAAAAAAACAAGTTCTCATTAAAGAAGTTCTCATTCAGTTCTCATTAAAGAAGTTGGGAGTAAACATCTCTGGTGAATATGTTTAGAAATGAAGGAACAGTGACCCATATCAACAAACATAAAGTTCAGGTTTCTCTGGTAGTGAATATTTTCACCATTAAAGGCCATGCTGATAAAACTGACAAAATGCTACCTAGCATCTTAAACCAGCTTGGTGCAGACATTCTGACTAGATTAAGGAGACTGACTGAAGCTCTGCCTAAAAAAATCTGTGGATGGGAAAGCACCACTTGCTATTGGAGAGGAAGATGATGAGGAGGTTCCAGATCTTGTGGAGAATTTTGGTGAGGTATCTAAGAATGAGGCAAACTGAATTGAGTCGACTTCTGAAAAAGATAAAATCTAGAAGAAGTTACTAGGGGCTGCTATTTTATATTATGACTTTTTAAAAAAATTGTTTTTGTTTATATATAAAATCTAGATCTCTAATATATATATATTTTTTGGTACTGGGGATCAAACTCGGGACCTTGCGCTTGCGAGGCAGGCACCAGAACCACTGAGCTAAATCCCGGGCCCTAGATCTCTAATATTTTTAAGCCTAAGCCCTTTGGACACTGTAGCTCTTTTCAGCTTTTGCTTATATACAGTTCATTCTTTGCAGACAGTTAAGCTGAAAAAGCCTGGGACTAAAGTTTAAAACAAAGATTAATAAAGTTCTTTGCCTAGTTTAAAAAAAAAAAGTACCTGTGTACTACTCTGCTGCCCCTGGATGCTTACCCATTAGCCCTCATGCCTTTCGTTCTTGCTAGTAAACATGATTAGCAAGACTAGTTCACTCTAGGCCACATGATTCAAAAGGTATTTACTTTGACAGAGACAGAATAGGAGAAAACAAACCATTTCTAGCATTGAGACAAGAGACCAAGATTAGCTAGCGGTCCCAAGGAAAGATTTCCTTAGTTAGAATGAAACAATGGGGAAAATTAGTCCTACTTCTAGTAGACACTTTTTTGCCAGCATTTTTTCCTGGAATTATAGTGGCCACACTGGGACCATCAGATGAACTAGTATGAGGATAAACTAACAAAGAAGAAAAGAACAAAAAGATTGCATTCTAGTTCTTTGGTGTTATCATTTAGCCACTTAATTAACCAACCTTAAGAGCCACATGAAATCAGAACTTCCTGTAATATGAAACCCCAAGTTTCCTTACGTAAGCCAATTTAATTGCAATTCTGTAATATGCAATTGAAGGTAACTGGTAAAGTACATGATTACTTTTTTTTTTTTGGAGACAGGATCTCACTATGTAGTTCAGGCTGGCCTTGAACTCATGGTGATCCTCCTGCCAGCCTCCAGAGTGCTGGGATCACAGGGATGTGCCACCATGCCCAGCCCTACATGATTACTATGAATATGCAATTATACAAGACATAATGTGTATAAGAACTTATCCACTTACTTCAAGTACTCACAGTCCTTTTTTTTGGTACCAGAAATCAAACTCGGGACCTGACGCTTTTGAGGCAGGAGGTGGAAACACTGGGCTAAATTCGCAGCACCACACCCCTCCTTTTGCAGCTCATTCTCATTAGTAGCCCTTACACCTTTCTCAAAAACTAGGCTGGCTACTGTCTGCCTTGCAAGCACAAGGACCTGAGTTCAATCCCTGGTACCA